AACTTGCATATTGACTCGGATAATGGCAGTTAGTGGACATATAATGCATGGTTGTTGTGATCATACCATGCTTATATGTTCCCAGTTCCCACAAAGGTTGATTTTTGTGCCAAAATATCTTGGCATCATTTAATCGCAACATATGACATGAATCGGAATATGAATATTAGGGATGATGAATATTTATGTGGAAAATTGATGTATTTCCATAATTTTTATCCTTTTATCTTATTATCATTTTTATGTTCTTTATCTTTTTAGCCTTTTATCTTATATAGACTCCATTTTTACCATTTCTATCTTAGCATTTTTATCTCCATCTTTTTTTTTTATCTTACCTTATATATTTTCTTTCTTTCTAATCTTTTTATCTTTTATATTGCGTTAGCTCCGATCTCATGTGTCATTAAGTTAGCCAATTAACCCAAACTCTTTAATTTTGAGATTAAAACTTGGATGTTGTTGTAGAATTGTATGAGTTGAAAACTGAACTTATAATCCAAAGATGTATATCGCTTAGACATTGTATAATCTATTTGCGGGTTAAAAACTAATCTGCACGGCTACGCAAGCTAAACAGAATAGACCAGTGTCATACCCGATCAACTACCATACACTCGTTCGTGTCCATCCAGCAGCGTCGCACTTGAGAAAATTTCTGGTTCGTGCATTTCTGTTTTCAATGGTTTAAGCCCGAACGGTAATTGAACGAGCATGTCAAGGTTCGTACTATTTTCAAAAACTAGACCACGAATTGAATCTGACTATCTGAGACCTCACAGTTCAATGTTTTTTCCTAGACTCTGTCTACTTGGAATCGAGACATGGTATAAAGTACGTATGTAGTATTAAAGATTTTGATATATCATCTTTGTCCTGAAAAGGTTCGCCAAATTGATTTTATTGATCAATGATAATCGACTTTCGCTAAATTGATTTTTCTAAGAAAAGTCAATATGACGAATCTTTTCAAACTTGTTATAATCTTACCCCGCTCCCTCCCCCGCCATCCAATTTGGTTCGTAGAGTCTCTTCAAACTTCGCAACATGGATTTCTTGAGTTCGAGTGTGTGAATATATCTGCTTTACATTTCTTGATTTCAAGTGGACTTCTTGTGAATGTGTTTGGCCCCCATGATCAAATTGTAGTTTATAATCTACGAACTAATAACATGCATTCAAGTCGATCTTACATTCTTCAAATTATTGGGATTTGGGAGAGGATCCACATTTGTGTTAATTACAATTAAACGAAAACTTACGTGTGTGCATTACGTATAAATATACTCCGAAGGTAAAGTTCTCGTAAGTTTAACTAAGAAATTAAGAAAAAAATTGAGTAAGACTTTGAATTGGTGCAAATAAAGCTAGCTAGCAACTGTTAAGGTTGCCATTAATGTAATGTGACATAGTACTTTATCTTGTGGTCACAGACTGGGCATGGAATGATGGCAGTAGGAGAGGTGGCCACAAGCTACTGCGATATGTCAATGCTGCTTATGTGTATACACTTATTTTTATTTACTCCGTAACTTACATGCATAGAGCCATAGAGTCAATGTATATATATTACGGAGTAATAATTCTTGTGAACTCTAATTTCTCTCCTACTCTCCTAGTAGACTTTTCAGGTATGTATTAAGATAAATTTATTGTACATTTTAAAACAAAGTACTATTTCAGTCTTATTTTATTTGTCTAGCTTTAGTTTGACATAATTATTAATAAAATGGTTTAAAAATAAACATTGTGATTGAGATTTAATTATAATAAAGTGAAATGTTGTGAAACACAATTTTTTTTTTCAAAAAGGAAATGTGACACTTATTTTAGGACAACCCAAAAAGAAAAATAAAATAGGTAATCGAATAGGTCGGAGAGAGTAGACGATTATTGGTATTGTAGCAGTATTGTTTATTTTATTAGAGTGTAATGTAGCTGCTTTTGAAGTGAATTTATTTCTTAAAAATGGAATTGAAGTGAAACACATATTCTCATACGGTAAAAAAAAGTGAGAAACTTATTGTGATAGATAGAGAGTATATATTGGGATTTGGTATCAATTAAGAAAGGGAAAAGGGACAAATAATTAAACCCTCGAACTCACCAAAAAAGTGCAAACCACCCCTTATATAGGAGGTTCTGTCCAGCCGTCGCTATTTATGGCGGTTCTCGGTGGAATTTTTTGATGATTTTTTTTTAGGATCTTCTTCATTAAGTCTAGTTTACCCATACCAAATTTCAGCTAAAAATGAAACCGCGAAGACAGTCAAATGATTTTCTGAAATATATATACTGCTCTGTTTAATTGCGCAGTTATCTTCAAAAATTTATTTGACTGTCTTCCCGATTGAATTTTTATCTGAAATTTGGTATGATTAAACTAGAGTTAATGAAGAAGATGCTAAAAAAAAATTCATAAAAAAATTTCACCGGAAACCTTCCCAAATGACGACTGCCGAACAGAGCCTCCTATATAAGCTAAGGGGTGATTTGCATTTTTTTGTTAGTTCGAGGACTTATTTGTCCCTTTTCCCATTAAGAAACATTGGGATTTGGTGATTTGAGAATAGTAAATTAATGGTAACCCATATCCGGAAACCAAAATATGAATCATGCTAATAAATCTATTCCTCCATCTGTTCCAAAGATACTTCCTTTTTTTCATTTTATTTAGCCAGCATTAACTTTTTTACCATGATGCTAAAGTTTGAGTGATGATATATTTATACACTCGTATGTAAGTATTTATTATATGAAAATGATATGATTTTTTATATTAAATATACTATTATAAAGTAATGCCCCATCCGAAAATACTTAGCCAAATCTAAAAATTTATATCATGATTTTGATTAATATAATTATATGTGTTATGAAAGTTATAACTTTTAAACTTTTATGAAAGTATATTTAGCAAAGAACATTTTCATATTATTTTTATATCATAAATAATTTCTAATGAATATATATAATTATTCAAAAATTTGAATTTGGCCAAGTATATATTTTAGTACAAGGTAGTATAAAATTTATAAAAATCGCAAAAGTATATTACCTAAATGATTGGTCAAAGTTTATCATCATTAACTGGAAAAGTCCTTCTAAAATTGGACGGAGGTAGTATAAAACTAAATATAGGTTACGAGGTTGACACAAGATTAAATAAGTTAAATCTCATGTATTAATATGTATTAGAATGTACTTTGTATATACTTCGACACTAGATTAAAAATGCACCGAAGCGCAAACAAAAATCCTATTAATATATATGACGTTTTTGCAAATATTCAAATAGCTATTAGGTTTATCCACAAAAGTGTAACGATGTTTTTACTTGGACTGTTTTCAGTTCCAAATCAGATCAGGTCAAACTTAATAGATCAGATCAGACTTAAACATACCAGACCAGACTTAAACGGATCAGACCAGACTTGATCACTTGACTTCGCTAGTTATAAAATACATAAAGACCATACGTTTACCAGACCAGACCAATTCAAACCAATCTTTTTTTAATCAGACCAGATCAAAATCAAAATTAAACAGATCAAACCAGATTGGACGAGTCAAGTATAAACATCCTAACACGGAGTAAGTTTTACTAAAACTATTTGGGAGCATCATTATAGGAGGAAAAGGGTAATAAATTAGGCAGTACAAATACGCATCTACTCTGGTCACTTTTGTTTTTGTCTACTTTTGTCTTGACAGAGTCATAAATAAGTTGAATTTGTGGTCGCAATTTGTTTAAGAGCCCGTTTGGTAGCACCAAAATCGGCTGTTTTGGCTGATTCTGCTGAAATTTATGATATTCTGGCTGGAGTGGCTGTTTTGGCTGATTCTGCTGATTTAAGAAAAAAATATTTTAAAAATATATTTTATTAATAAATTAAAGAAAAAATTATATGTAAAAATAGCTAAAATGGTCCTCTACAGTAACTTCAGCCAATACAGCCAGAAAAGTAACTTCAACCTTACTTTTTCGGCTTATTACACAATTCAGCGCGCGAAAGTAAAAGTTACGTGTTTGGTGAAAAAGCTGGCTGATAAGCCTGATAAGCCGAAAACAGAGTTCTCCAAACGGGCTCTAAATGTGGAACATTTAAAGAAAGCATTTCTACTTGCGTCCAAGAAAAAACATTTTTCTCAAAAGAAAGCATAAAATAATTTAGAAACAGATCGAAATGAATAAATATGATAAAATCAATATACAAGGAATGTATTTATATACGGAGTATGCATTATATTATTTTCTCGATCTATATGCAAAAACAAGACACGTATCAGTACTAAACTTTATCAATTTTTCTTGTTAAGTTTGTCTCTCCAAAAAAACTCAATATCCTTCCCAAAAAAACTCACCATCCATTTAGTGTTGGGATCTCTTTAGTGTTCTAAATGAATGGTGTGACCCATAGGAGTAGACTAAATCTGAAATTTAGTAAGTAGACTTGTTTCACTTCCCGACTACCTCATACTTAAACATAGCTGATTAACCAGACTTTGACTGTTCTAAAATATACTTCGTACATCGAAAAAGACATTCACTAAATCAGATCAGAAAGTTTCTATTCAATTAAAAAATCATATGATTGAAATTTATGTCATCATTTATTAATATTTAAATTGTTCATATTTGACCCGCAATAAATATTGTGAGATATATATCTTGCACATAAAAATATCTTATTTTAATCTAGCTAGCTACTTATTAGCTAGTGGTGTATTGAAGTTTAACTAACCTAGCCTGCTACAACGTAACCACATGCAATGGCTTCATAAAATTAGTTAAACCGCTGTATTAATGAGGCCGGGATGGGGTGGTAAGTTAGTAGGTTTGCAGATTTAGAATTGAAGGGCCGTTGAAACCTCATTTATTATCCTCTAATGGCATTCATTCATACATACCATCCATGGTCCCTCATCTTACCTTCATCATCATCACATGATATATCCTAGCTAGCAGGTTCATCTATATTTATATGATGAATGACTCACTTTGAAGATTTTTATCATAAAAATAACTCCAACCCCATCATCATCATATCCATATTTCAAACATAAACATGATTTGATAATTGCACAACTTATGTACACAAAAATTAAATTATATCTGTGTCATCAATAATAAATAATGATCATCAACAAACCTACCATAGTGAGATCACTTTAAATAAAAGTGGGTAGTAGTGTCGGTGAGCGTTTCACACAATTGAATAGAACAGATTTGAAGCAACTCTAGCTAGCAGCTCCATGCATCATCTTCCAGATCATATCATTAAATGTTATGCATGTTTTTGTATATATATCACCCATCCAAACACTGACTAGCTCCATCACCCACCCCAAGCCCACATTCCATGCAGGCTTAGCTTGCCTGCCTGCCCTACCATGCTACTACCTCTAATGGGGGATTTCCATCCGTCCCTGCGGCGCAGCGGCACCGGATCATTCCTCCTCCCGCTCCTCCTCCTCGGATCCTTCTTGTTCCTCGGTGTTTGCTACGGCGATGATAAGACGACCGCCCATGTTGTTGGGTTCGGAGAATGTTCTGACTGCAAGGACTATAACATTCAGACCAGTCATGCTTTTTCAGGTTCGTATACTTATAAATTACTTGCATAATAGATAGTAGACTAGTAGTACTACAGAGTTACTATATATGTTCAGTAGATTTTTGGGTTTTTTTTGTCATTTCTGAATTTAACTTGGGAAACCTTAAGGATTGGATGTTTTTACTGACATTGTTGTTTTTTTTGTTTAAATTTGATGTTTCCACATTTCATGTTCCCCTTTTCGCCTATCCATGCTGCATAGGCTACTAATAGTTGACATACAAACATTAAGTCATCAATCTTGGTTTAATGTTTTTTTAAGAAGTTATGACACCAATAGTTTAATACTCCGCAATCCGCATCCATATTTGACTTTTTACTTAGAGCGGTATATATATTGCATACTTAAAAAAATACTCAGCGCCTTTTCAAATCATTGAATTGGTGTGTAATGATCGATCATATATTTATATACAGAAGTATATATCGATAATAATATGAAAATGATATGAAAATGTCATTCTGAAAAATTGATAATAATAATCCCAACTATTGATGGTCCGCTTATAATAATCTCAACTATCGATTATTTCAGAATAATCCCAACTTTAGGGACCTTCCGCCAATAATGGTCCCTATAAATAAATTCTTGTAGTTTCTAAAGTGGATGAGGAGAGATATAGCAAGTAATCCCTATAAATATTCCCAACTTTTAATTTTTACACTTAATTTCTATTTAAAATTCATTGTTTTGGAAGATAATATATGGTCATGGACCATTATTGGCGGATGGTCCATATAGTTGGGATTATACAAAAATAATCAATAGTTGAGATTATTATCAGCGGACCAGCAATAGTTGGGATTATTATTTTCACTTTTTCCTTAAAAATATTAAGTAGTATTATAAAAGTACAAATTATTAAATTTTGCATAAGTATATTAGTTAAAATAATTGGTCAAAGTTTGCCGGTCATCTTTGACCAAAAAGGTAAAAAATGATTAACTAATATGGGACGAATGTATAGTAGTAGCAAATAGAAACTATAATAAGTACTTGTAATTACCTATTTTAAACACATTATTCAAAAGTATTTTTAGGTAATAACCTATTTTAAACACATTAATCTCTAGTATGGAGCAATAGTTGGGATTATTATTTTCACTTTTTCCTTAAAAATATTAAGTAGTATTATAAAAGTACAAATTATTAAATTTTGCATAAGTATATTAGTTAAAATAATTGGTCAAAGTTTGCCGGTCATCTTTGACCAAAAAGGTAAAAAATGATTAACTAATATGGGACGAAGGTATAGTAGTAGCAAATAGAAACTATAATAAGTACTTGTAATTACCTATTTTAAACACATTATTCAAAAGTATTTTTAGGTAATAACCTATTTTAAACACATTAATCTCTAGTATGGAGTATTTATTATACACCAAGTTTTAATCATTCTAAAAAATGTTTTGACCAATTCAATCGAACTTATAATATAGTTTCACATTATAAAAATTCTAGTTATTAAGATTGATGCATGTATATTACTCCGTGTATATATATATATATCTTATCAAGAGTAAACTTTATTTTAGTCGCAATCATAAATTGCACGGAAAACTTCGAAATAACTCAGGGAGCTAGAGCACCATTTTAGCATAACACACATAAACAGTTAACAAATTTTAGTTAACCTTAAAAGTCAAAATAGGTTATTCTTAACAAGGATGAAGCTAGTAGTATTATATACGAAGTATTACGATGGTTTAATTTGGTGGATTATATTGTGCAGGGCTTCGCGTGACAGTTGATTGCAAGGTGGGAAATGGAGAGATGAAAACAAGAGGAGTTGGAGAGATGGATAAAGATGGGAAGTTCCATGTCTCATTGCCCAAGGAGATGGTGATGGACAGTGGGGAACTAAAGGAAGAATGCTATGCTCAACTTCATAGTGCATCTTCTACCCCATGCCCTGCCCACAATGGCATTAAGGCCTCTAAGATTGTTGCTGCTAAATCATCCGCCACCGCGGTGTTTCAACCGGCGGGCAATCTTAAGTTCTCCACCGCGCTTTGCACGTCGGCTTTCTTGTGGCCATACTTCAAGTTCCCGCCTATGCCCGACCTCCCGCCCTTCCCGAAAATCGACCCGTGGAAGAAGCACTTGCCTCCCTTGCCCCCATTGCCCAACCTCCCGCCCTTCCCTAACATTGATCCATGGAAGAAGCACTTTGGCCACCCCTTCCCTATCCCACACCAACCTCCTGTTGATACTCCACCAGAGGAAAATCCACTCCCACCACCGGTTCCCGTCTCCGAACCCGAGCCCACACCACCCGTTTACATTCCACCTCCCGTTCCTGTCCCAGAAACCAAGCCACCGGTTTATATTCCACCAGTAGTGTCGGTTCCACCTCCGGCCCCGGTTTACACTCCGAGTCCACCAGTTTATATTCCACCTGTAGTTAAGCCTCTTCCACCCCCAGTTCCAGTTTACAAACCAAAACCCAAGCCACCGATTATTCTTCCACCTGTAATCAAACCAATTCCACCTACAACCCCTGAATACAAGCCAAAGCCACCAGTTTATGTTCCACCTGTAATTAAGCCGATTCCACCTCCAACTCCTGAATACAAGCCAAAGCCACCAGTTTATGTTCCACCTGTAATTAAGCCGATTCCACCTCCAACCCCTGAATACAAGCCAAAGCCAAAACCAAAGCCACCAGTTTATGTTCCACCTGTAATTAAGCCGATTCCACCTCCAACTCCTGAATACAAGCCAAAGCCACCAGTTTATGTTCCACCTGTAATTAAGCCGATTCCACCTCCAACCCCTGAATACAAGCCAAAGCCAAAGCCACCCGTTTATGTTCCACCTGTAATAAAGCCGATTCCACCTCCAACTCCTGAATACAAGCCAAAACCACCCGTTTATGTTCCACCTGTAATTAAGCCGATTCCACCTCCAACCCCCGAATACAAGCCAAAGCCAAAACCAAAGCCACCAGTTTATGTTCCACCTGTAATTAAGCCGATTCCACCTCCAACTCCTGAATACAAGCCAAAACCACCAGTTTATGTTCCACCTGTAATTAAGCCGATTCCACCTCCTACCCCTGAATACAAGCCAAAGCCACCAGTTTATATTCCACCCGTTCCTATATACAAGCCAAAGCCGCCAGTTCACATTCCGCCCCCAGTTCCCATATACAAGCCAAAGCCGCCAGTTCACATTCCATCCCCAGTTCCTGTATACAAGCCAAAGCCGCCAGTTCACATTCCATCCCCAGTTCCCGTATACAAGCCAAAGCCGCCAGTTCCCGTATACAAGCCAAAGCCACCAGTTCACATTCCACCCCCAGTTCCCGTATACAAGCCAAAGCCGCCAGTTCACATTCCACCCTCAGTTCCCGTATACAAGCCAAAGCCGCCAGTTCACATTCCAACCCCAGTTCCCGTATACAAACCGAAACCACCCGTTTACATTCCACCTGTAAAGCCGCTTCCACCCCCAACTCCCATTTACAAGCCTAAGCCACCAACTTACATTCCACCCGTAAAACCGCTTCCACCTCTTGTTCCAACATACCATCCAAAGCCAAAACCACCAGTTTACATTCCACCTGTAAAGCCATTGCCGCCGCCAGTTCCGACATACACACCAAAACCGAAACCACCAGTTTACATTTCACCGGTAAAGCCGCTTCCACCCCCAGTTCCCACATATACACCAAAACCCAAGCCACCAGTTTATATCCCACCGATTGTAAAGCCACTTCCACCACCGACTCCCGCATATACACCAAAACCCAAGCCACCTGTTTATATCCCACCGGTTGAAAAGCCGCTTCCTCCCATTACAAAGCCATTGCCTCCTCCCATCCCCGTCTACAAGCCAAAACCGCATCCACCAGTTTACATTCCTCCAATTGTAAAGCCACTTCCTCCTCCCGTTCCCATCTACAAACCAATATCAAAACCACCAATTTACATTCCTCCCATTGTAAAGCCATTGCCTCCTCCATTTCCCATCTACAAGCCATTCCCAAAACCACCAATCTCCTTTCCTCCAATAACAAAGACATTCCCCCCTTTTCCTCCAATAGTGAAGACATTCCCTCCCTTTCCTCCAACTGTAAAACCATTGCCTCATCCATTTCCCATCTACAAGCCATTCCCAAAACCACCCATCACCTTTCCTCCAATAATAAAGACATTGCCACCCTTTATTCCCATTTACAAGCCATTGCCACCACTAGTAAAGAAGCCATTCCCAACTCTTCCTCCATACCCATTCTTCCCCCCTCTGACTCCTCAAAATCCCCAACCATAAATTTACTTTACATGCCATTACTTAAGTAGCATGTGCACAACATGATCATCTTTATGTATGTTTTCTTGGTGTAATGACTAGCTAGCTTTGCCTCTCATTGTGGGAACAAAAATGATCTGAGTTGAGTGAGCAAAGACCGTTGAGCAAAAAAGTGCAGAGAGAGGCTAGCTAGCTAGGAGCTGCATATTAGTTAAAATTGCTTTTGTTTTTATTTTGGTCGTGCTTTTGTTTATTTGTTGATTGAGATTGAGCCCTGTTGGTTTGATGTAAAGTGTACTATTACTACTTCAGTTTCAATGATGTATACTGTATTAGTCAATTATTATTACCGCAAATAATTAATAATATTTTACTGCTTCAATCCAGTTCATGAACTAATTTATTAATAGCCGTTTCTTTCTAGAATAACTCTATATATGGACCAGGTACTAGTTCAATATGTTCATTGCACTATGTTCATGTGTAAGCCAAAAGAATTGGGAGAAATGGGCTTCAAAAAAATCCGGGATTTTAATGTATCAATGTTAGCTAAACAGGCTTGAAGGATTTTTACTGATCCCGAGACATTAGTGGGGCGGGTCTTCAAAGCCTGTTACTATCTTAAAGGCACTTTTTTTACCGCAAAACTTGGGATAACCCGTCATTTATCTGGCATAGCATTTTTAAGACTCGGGAAATTATTAGAAATGGCTATTAGAGCATCTTCAATGGTTGCTTATAGGGACTTGCTTGCAATTTTGAAGCTACTAGTCTACCATTGGAGCATGACTCTTCATTTTGCTTGAAAAAGCTAATTAGCCAAAATGAGCTACTAGCTTAGCAAGGAAAATTATTAAATATTGTATTATAAATAATAAATGAACAGGAAAAAATTATGGCTAACCATTAAAATATATTTCAATTTTGCTTATGTGGCTAGTGAAGCTATGAATGCAATTAGCTAACCGCCCTCTGGAGATGCTCTTAGTGGCGTGTGTGGAATGAGGAAGCTATCAATGTTTGGTCTGAACCATGGTTGCCGGATGAGATTAATCTAAAGGTTGAGACTGCCCCTACAGCAGGTCTTCAACATAGCAGGGTAGCGAATCTTCTTAGTATGCCTGAGAGGAGATGGGATTCAGACCTTATACATGACATTTTCGAACCGAGGGACGCTAGACTGATTCAAGGCATTCCACTTAGCCATAGATCTGTTCCAGACAGGGTTTGTTGGCGGTGGGAAACAAATGGGTGTTTTTCTGTCCGTAGTTGCCATGTGGAATTGGAAATTACCCTTCAAAAAAAATCTGGCAGGTTTGTTGTGGTTTTCTTCCGACGAGGCTGAATCTACGCAATAGAAAGGTGGATTGAGTGGTGGTCTGTGGACTCTGTGATCATGCAGATGAGACATTGTTTCATTTGCTCATTGATTGCCCGGTTGCCAAGGAGGCGTGGGAAGGGGTGAACTTGGCTTGGTCTCGGAGCATAGCTGGGGACTTTTGCTCGCTGTTGCAGGCTGAATCTCAATTCTCAGACGAGGCAGACGGATGACTTGCGAAGGCTTATTTGGGGTCTATGGAGGGAGAGGAATAACAGGGTGTGGAAAGGGGTTCGGACGAAGCCTAAGTACACTGCAGGTTGGGAACAAGCTCTCAGCAGGTGGCTGGAGCTCGAATAAATCAGGGATGTACGGGTTCAACGTGGATGCAACGGTGCGTGACTCTAATTGTGGCCTGGGCTGGATTGAGGTCGGGAAATTCATCGCGGGAGATGCGAAGGCATGGCATTATGGCAAGGGAAGTTATCTCCCTGGGAGGCTGAACAGTAGGGATGATAGCGGAAGAAGTTCGAGATTTATGTTAGTGATGACTAATGGCTGATATGAGGGTTGTTCTAGTCAGGTGGCCTGACCGGACAGACCCTTGCTGCCTTCCTGACCTTCCCGATTTTTTTATGAATTTTTTTGAGCATTTTCCTCATCAAGTCCAGTTTATCTATACCAAATTTCAGTTAAAAATTCAATCGGGAAAGCAGTCAAATAAATTCTTGAAACATACTGGGCATTCTGCGCATATATAAAGTGCAGTATGTTTCAAGAATTTATTTGACGGCCTTACCGGTCGAATTTTGAGCTGAAATTTGGTATGGATAAACTAGACTTGATGAGGAACATGCTAAAAAAAATCATCAAAAAATTCCACCGGGAAGGCACCCAAAAGGGGAAGGCCGCACGGGCCTTCCGGTCAGGCCGGCCTGACTCGAACGGGACTCTGGCTGATATTCCCTAATTTTGTTAGGCCATCAGCTAATAGAGCGGCCTGTTCTTTGTCCGGTTGTCGTTATTGGATAGGTGTTCTTCCTACTTTCATTACTCATGTACGTAGTATTAAATAGTGATTTGATTAATATTAATTAAGTTTGTTTCTGTAAAAAACACGTATAATACTCACCTAACACTTTGGTTTTAGTACATACTCCCTCCGTTTTCGCAACCAAATTCATACTTTCTTTATTTCCTTATTTGGTAAAGAAATCTACATCAAAACAGTGCCAAACAGTGTCAAACAGTGTCTAAACAGTGTACTCTACAGTAAAGTCAATTTATTTCTTTAATAATCGTGAAGTCAAACTGTGACTTTCTTTTGGAAACGGGGGGAGAACTTAAATATTTTCTACCACTTTTTTATTTGGGTTAAGTTTTATTAAAATTATTACTCAATAACCCGATATATTTTTGTATGTTTTATGTATACTTTGTATCTTTCTCTCATACTTTAATTTTTACACTTTTTCAGCATTAATTTATACTATTATACTCTTAAATTTTGTGTAAAAGCCCACTATCACAATAACAGAATTAGAAATTGCTCAGTGTAAGACTATAACATAGACAAAATAAAAAAAAGCCAAATATGTTTTATTCTTTCAATAGGACTTATTTAGTCTTATAAAAAAAATAAAGTGATTAAAAATTCCCAAAATATGAGTGATATATATGTCGGAGTGAATGGATCCTATGTGAGAATAAAACAATGATAGCATATGAATTTATATACAGAGAAATAAAGACAATTAGTTTGATAGAGCGATATTATAATTAACAAGTCAATTAGTAAGCTACAAGTGAAATTCACCTTGAAATAACACGTGACAATAAATTTTTAATATTGAGACGTGTGGGAAATGCTACCTCCAACATGGATTATAAGGTAATAAGGGTACAATATATAGATATAGATTGCCTATATTCTTATGAGTTATGACCATTAGTAGTACTTGTTATTCTTATGTCAAATCTTATTCCTAGGAAACTTGTCGCTCCCACTTACAAATAGAGAATTTTGTTTTAATAAAACTTCATCTGTTTTGTTGGATTTTGTCAACTTTTCTTTTTTTTGTTATCTCAAAAAACTTTTTCACCTTCATTTTAAAGCAATTAAATTGTGTTTCTACTCAATTCTCTATCCTCTGCACAAACCCCAATCATATAGTTTGTATTTTTTTCTCACCTATTTTGAACTTGGCAAAGTCTATCGGAACGGAGGAAGTATCTGATATATGTGACTAAAAAATGTTATGGAGAGTACTTTTTATTACGCCATGTAAACTTTTTTCTCTGTTAGGAACAAGCTGAAGTGCATTATGAGCTGTAATAATGTAAACTAGTGCTCTTTAGTCTTTACTACGTTAGAGACAAATTGAAGTATCGAAACAGCATCTTCGGATCTTCCTCGTTTAAAAATCGTATTGTAGTATTTATATAATTATATGTATATCGTTTTCTTATATATTACTATAGCAGATGAATGAAATGAATGACTATATTAGTTGTTTTTAATTAGGATTATTAGCTAAATATATCCTCAACTATAATCAAATTCACAAATTTATCCTATAATTTCACTTTTATTAAAAAAAAGACTCAAACTTCAATTTTTCTCACAATTCCACTTTCAATGGATAAATTAGTAAAACTTAAGAAGAAAATCATATTTATATTTCATATTTTTCAATTCTTTCTAGTTTTAAGTTTGAAATTTGTGTTGCTTATATCTTAACTAGTGTAACACCCGGGGCATGCCCCGGTAGCATCACGTTGATATGAATTAATAAAATGATAAATATTAATAAAGTGTGAATTATTTAGAGAATCTGTTGATATCATTTCCTAAGATAAAAATTTATGTGTGCTAATACTTTATTGAAAAATGAGGAGGGTTCAAAAGAATTGATGTGTATATGATTTACTATTTTTTTATTTTTATTTTCTGTTTTTTTGAAAGATAATTTTCTGTTCATAGTATACACAATAATAAGGTGTAGTGAAGAATGAAAATCAATGTGCTGCTTGTCATTTATAGGTTTTAAAATAAAATTACACATTTTGATACACTTTTTTGTGCATAATAGTTATTGTATTGCACGATTCCCATCGACCAAACAAAAAATCTCAATTCATTTATATTAAAATTTTCAATCGAGAAAGTGTCACACCTAGATGTCCATGTGTGGGTGCTTAAAACATGGGGGTAGGGGTGGGGTTCGGGGTCGGGGTGGGGTCGAGGTAGGGGCAGGTGGTAGGGGGTAAAGGGGTAGGGTTGGGGTAGGGTAAGAAGTACGGATGGGGAGTTGGGTAAGGGGTATGGTCGGGGTAGGATAGGAGTACGGAGGTGGGATGGGGTGGGGGTGGGGTCAGGGTCGAGATCAGGTTCAGGGTGGGAGCAGGTGGTAGGGGTAAGGGGGTAGGGGCACTAAAGCACGTTGGAGCATTTGAAACAAAACTCCAAAGACAACAATTTCTAAGTTATGGGCTTTTAGGATGTTTTAGTTGGACTGAAATTTTCTGGTCAGATCTGATCTGATCTGGTCTTGTTTGCTCTGGTCTAGTCTGGTTTAAAGTGGTCTAGTTTGGTAAATGTCTGATCCCTGTGTATTTTATAACCATCTAATAAGTCTGGTCAAATTTGGTCCGATCCAATCTCATCTAATATGGTCTGGGACAGAAAGCCGTCCAAGTAAAGACATCCTTATCATTTTCTATATTCTCATAATATTGAAAAAAACTATTGAATTTTAAAAGTTTTAAATGTTCTATAAAAGTTATTAAGCGTGTGTAACTTTAAATGCTAAAGTCCACTTTTAATTAGTTGGAGTAGATATATACAAATTTCACATGAGAAGCACGATTTGCAACAAATTCACCTTATATATGACATATCAAATATAACATTTATTTCACTCTGCTCATTTTCATAATGTTATTATTATGCATCAGGGCGCTATTGTAAATGGTTTATGTTGATTTTGAGGCAACTATCTTTGTTAAGCTTTGGTCTTTTAACTCGTTTTGTAGCAGAGGCGGATCCCTTTGGTTCAAGGATCTTCGGCTGAACACCCAAATATTTGAAAATAAATTGCAAAAATACATATAAATTGATGTAATAATTTATATTATTGTATTTTTTATATAATATTTCTTATTATGAAACCTTATTTGCTAGTTTTTTATAGTTTAAAAGAATTAAAAAATTCAATTGTTGAATCAAATAATATTATTGAGTAACATTTTAATGTTAAAATACTTCTTAACACCCTAAATTTTATAGCAAGATCCGCCACTGTTTAGTAGTGTGCAAACCTTGCTTTGTATTCTCATTATGAAATGAATCTGATGTGATGACGCACGATACCGATGTTAATCTTTTTCTAAAAAAAAAATCAAGAGTTTGGGCCATTATCATATTTGTAGGGTTTTAAACAAGGAACATACGTAGTACGAAGTATTTAGGAGTTATTTTCTTTTCAAAATATTACCCGAAATAGGACTAAAAAGGTTTGAAAATTCCAAAAAAGGACTGCCATATTTTTATTCCTAAAATAGGACTAATTACTGTCATGTTTTGGCAGTACTAGACTACAAACATGACAATATTTTCCGAACTTGACAGTAATTACTCATATTTTGGGAATAAAAAACATGACAGTTCTGTTTTGGAATTTTCAAGGGTTTTTTACAATAATATTATTAAAATAAAACATATTTACATAAATATGACTATTCATTACTACAATGTGGTGTTGGGGTAACTTAAGCTCAAAACTTGAACATGAATTACTATGATTTCATTACTACTCTAGCCACTAATCATATTTTTGTAAATCATCTTTATTTTGGTCATATTTATGTAATTATTAAATCAAACTGTTTTAGTCATATTTCGGGAACTTTATTTCCCTTTTTTTTTTGAATTTCTTTACTTTTCTTTTGTATTTCAAGGTTTAGTGAATTGGCCAAGGTAAACCATAGGTATAATTTTTTAAATTATATCGAGTTATAGAATTATAAGACTAATGGTCTCTATAAAAAAAGAATAAATTGATTTTTGATTATCATTAAAAGCTAGCAATGCACTTAAGGATATCAAATGGAATTTAATTAAATAAAAGAGTAGGTTACATCCTTTAAAAAAGAGTAGGTTACATTAATGGTACTTTTCCTTTACATAAAAGTAGTTCATAAGAAATAAATCGACTTTGTTTCTGTTGATAAACGTACATTATTTCTATGAGTGAGTAATCTTGTATGTAATGGCCAATTATTATTTTTTATTTGAGAAATAAAAATTTAACACATTTTAAAAATAAAAATATATTGTTTTTTAACACATTTTTTTAATATTAGGTTTTGAAAATGAAAATGAAATCATTTTTTGTTTAATGTTTGGTTATTAAGGTTTATATCAAAATTTAATATTATTAATATGAAAGGAAGTATTGAGCACAACATTATTTTTAATTTTTTTTTAATTTTTCAACACATTTTGAATACTTCGGGTCAAAACCATAATTATATGTTAAAGTTTTATAATATTTTTCTTATGTTAATAATATTAATTTTTTTCAATCAATAAACAATATATTCATTATTGTTTTTACATTGTTGTGTACAGAGTAGTTATCTAGAAGGTATTTTTCGTACGTATTTAGAAATTTGAACTAATTAAATTATACGTATTAATACATATTTTGTTATTATGGAGAGGAGTCATACAATTGGTTATATGCCTTTTTCTGATGAATTATTATTATTATTAAATTAAATGTATAAAAATGATGGAAAATATTATAGGCGTATCAGCAACCCATGTCTAATAATCAATAGGGATGTCTAATACGAAGTAATCAATATGGAGTAGTATTTGTTATCTAAAACTCTAAAACTATCAATTAATTAGGGAGACAAATTCGCATCTCACGTTTCTAACCAATTACTCCGTATTAGATTAAACGTTAAAGTGATATTAAGTCTTATAACTGCTGACCAATCATAGAGTGACGCATCATGATTTTATAACTCAGTTTTACTACATAAAACAATAGATGTCATTGATAAAAATATGTAATTTTGAAAAAAAAAAACAAAAAAGAAAAGCATAATTGTTTAAAAATATGAAGTTTGAGTCTTTTT